TCTACTATTACTGAAATGAAACGATCTTGAGATATCTGGCAGAAACAATTTCTGGGCAATTAAAAGAAAGTGACATATTTCCTTCACTAAAATTGTAACTTTCATTATGCTTTGACAAAGAAGAAAGCAAGACTGATAAATTAACTTAAATATTGTATGTTCTAAATGTATCTTTTACAATACTTGAAAATGAAATACAACCCCCCCTCAAATTCAGTGTTTTAATAAGCATGCAACTCTTTTGAGCTTCAAGTGATTCAAATTCAGTGTAATGCATGTACAAAATTAGTGGACAGATTTCCATGGTTTTATTTCAGATTGATGATGTGCCTTGGTCAAGATGACTTAGTTCTGAGGAAAACAACTTTGTAGGTAGGCAATTATAAATAATAAAAATGGAAGAAGAGACTGTCCCTCGGGGAAATAGCTAGAGTTTATTTAATTTAGGTTATCTTAACTGCTCTGAGTTCATTTTATAAATATGATGTCTTTAATTTGGTCGTGCATTGAAGTATGTTTAATAGTAAACATACTTGGCATGTCTTTTATCCTTATATACCTCCCATCATGGAATAATGATGTTTAAATAACACTTTTTTATAAATTGGGCAGCTTCCCAAACCAGAATAGGCTCAAAGAGACTGCCAATTTTTATTATTTATCTATTTATTTGTTAGAGACAGGGTGGAGTGCAGTGGCACAATTGTAGCTCACTGCAACCTCAAACTTCTGGTGTCAAGGCATCCTCCTGCCTCCTCCCAAGTAGATGAGACTAGCACATACCATACCATCAAACCTGGCTAATGTTTTCTTTTCTTTTTCTTTTTCTTTTTTTTTAAGAGAAGGGCATCTTACTATGTTGCCCAGGCAGGTTTTGAACTCCTGACCTCAAGCAATGCTCCCACCTCAGCTTCCCAAAGTGCTGGGATTACAGGCATGAGCCACCACTCCTGGCCATATATAATATATTTTTATATATCAGGAGCCACCACTGAAATATCTTGAATGTAATATATGTAGTGTATTACAAGTGTATTGGAGTTGTCTTTCAATTTTGGACTTCTAACACGTTACACAGTTTACTGATTTGTTTGCTTTTTTTTTTTTTTTTTTTTTTTG